ATCTATCAGCTTGATTGAATTAAGGTAGAAACCTAAGAATCACTAAAGTGAATTGATTGTATTCCACAAATACTGTCATTCGTAATTTAGACTTTCGATTGGAAAAAAACCTTAGATGAAGTCATCTCTTGTTGCAGAACATAATAAACCAATCGAATTGATTATCTACGAAAATAGTGTACGACAGAGTGAAATAAAAAAACAACTTCACCGGTCTTCATATCATTCACCTTTTGAGTGTGAAGTGAAAAACTGTATTGAGACTATTGAATTTTATGAAAGCGAAAAAGCATGAACTCTTAGTTTCACTGACCAGACAACATATAATATATATATTCAGTAATTTTTTTTCACTCAATAATTAATAGACATACTGCGGTGTGAGCTACTTATAAATAGTATATGACGTGAGTGTAAACGTAATGTCTGGCAGCAGATGATGGGGCAAGATCAAGAAAGGAAGAGTTAGAACACAATGGAATTTGTATGAAACGCATGAATAGTGACAATGGATTGATGTTTGGCAACAGGAACAGTCCAGTTCGATAGGATTAACTGTTATTTTGCAAATTAACGATTTACGATATGGTTTTCCGATTTTACTGAGTAACTCTGTAATTTTGGTTAAATGCAATTCGGTTGCCCCACCTGTGTTCTCATTCACTACAATACTAGCAAAGGTCAAACAACTTGTATGAATAGTAACTTTATGAAGAGAATGAGAACAAACATTTGAGCAGAATAAAATGAATTCATTTTTTATTTTGTTTGGTTCTTGACGGCTATTTACAACTTGTAATAGTTAAAATCATAATTACAAAACAGCTAGATTGGTTGAACAAAAGAAAGGTCTACCTTAAACACTGCAATGATCAAGTGTCGTTTGGGATATGGGACATCTGGTTGACACCTTGTAATCGTTCAAGGTGATTAATCAACAGTCGATCTCCAGTCTTTTGGAGCGTTTGTTATTGAACGCTTGAAACCTGATTTACGCCTTTCAAAAAGAGATGGTTGTTGTTAATCGTTCTTTACACCTTGGTGATAAATATGCCTTCATTACATCATTAGATTTGGTTCAACGCTTTCTTTTCAACAATTACATCAGCCACAAATAAAATCAATTGTTTTGCAAAAGAATAACATGAATAAGGGTTAAGCTAAGTTTTGCAATAAGATTTTTATGATTAATCATTAGTTCAAGTGAATTGATTTAAATTTAGTTAATCAACTATGTTCCTAAGTTAAGACAATTCAACCAAGCCTGATTCACTGGTGTGATCGATTGTCATTGAAGCATTTTCGGTCAATTGACTTGATCTGTGATTTGAACTCGTAACTTAATTGTACATCATTTATAATGTGAGCATAAATCAAATGGAGCTATGTATGGTGAATAGTGTTTTTGTAAAAAAACTATCTAAAGAAAATCGTGCATAATATATAATCTAATTTTAAAAATTATTACGAGTACTCGTTAAAGTTAAAATGAATTATAAGTATTTGATATAGAGTTATGGGGATTAGTGTTTTCCTTTGAAATCATGAATCAATAACTGTTAGATCACCATTAGAAACCTGAAAGCACTGGACGGCCATCCACAACACACGCTCGCCGGAATCGAACCATGGATCTCGCGCAAGAACACTTAACCTCTAGACCAATTAAAATGTAGTTGTACTTCATAGATTGACCTTAGTTAATGAAAACTTGGTTATCTATTCAATCTTAGAGTATAAAGCTCAAATCGAATTTATTAAAATTCATAGGACGCTTGATTCGTAGACTTGACCGAGCGGTAAAAGTTCAAAAAATTGGTTAAAAACAGTGAAATCTGGACAAGCTGACATTAAAATGTAGTTCAAGTAAGCTAAACATTATATATTAAGGATACACACATACCCACACATCACTTAACATAAGGGAGTAGGAATGTAACAATTCAGAATATTTGTATTATTCCAAGACTCACTCGTATTCATTCAATTCGATCTTATTTGTTAGCATATTCGATCAAGTAAATCTGAGAATAACTTATTATGTCATGGTTTTAAATTAAATTTCTCTAATTTACTTTTCAGTTATCATAACCTAGCTTGGAACATATAACTATGTTGTACTTTCAGTGAATATAGTTGATCAAGCTAAATTGCCATATGGTTGAACAAATATGTTCGAGAGGTAATTAAATGAATACATTCTTACATACAAATACGCTGACATTTATGTCGATAATTTATTCCCTCAAAGTTTATGATTGCTTCATTTAATGACAGCTTACTGTACACATTAGTAGGAACCACTCAAGTTATCCTTTCATACTGTTTACCCATAAATTAGTTTACATCGATAATGTCGCATAAAGTTGTTGTCTTCTGAAACTTCTTGCTACATATGTAGATTCATCATATATCAATCAATAATGCAAGACAGTACTTTAATTCGTAATCGATATTAAATGAGGGACTATTCAGAATTATACGCATGATGAGTGTTTTTTTCCCATCATACGAAACACAAGGAATAATCAAGTACGGAACATGTTCAATTGGAAGAAAAAATTCTGTGTAACGCTAGAAAAAAGCGACCACCAATCAGGATGTTAGTCTATTTATCATCAACAGTTTTGTTGTTGACTAAAACTTCCTATTAAATCGAATGTAGGAAAAATTATTGATCAGTTAATTTTACTATATCACCGACACATTATAGACAACTTGGATGCATAATATGGTATACAAATTACTCTTAAAAAATCCAACATTTAAACTAACAATGATATATTTTAAGAGTTATCCTATAAAAATGTCTGTTACAGACATGCACAACGTAGCACAGACTAAAGCATATATTCATATGTATATTAGTAAAAGACATGGTTTGAGATTAAATTAGCACTGCATTGTCCAGTCAGTATACGCTCATTAAAGGAACGAAAAAGTGATTCTGAAGGGACTGAATACGAGATTACTGATAACCCTAACTAGTATAAAGAATGAATTATTCTGACAAACATTTATGTCAGTTATATATTCGCTTGATTGACGAGGAACAAAATGCAAAGAATGCTAATTGACTAAGACAAACAACAATTGATTCGCCAGTCCCAACAACAAATGGTCAAGTCAAGTTAAAACTGAACATACCGCAAACTAATAATCTGCACACCAATTCAGAATTCCTATTAAAAATAAAACTTCTCAAAAATGATAAGTTTTGTTGAACTTTAACACAACACTTATGGATTTATAATTCGTCGAAGATAGATTCTCATCCGGATTCATTTCTTCTGTAAAGTGAAACCAGTGATATCCGAAAAAAGAAAGAATTAGACGCTGTAATGTATCACTCACTGATCGTTCACAAAAAAGTTATTTATCCCACAATACGGTATCTTTTCACTTTTTATTTATATATTAACTTGTTTACTGATATTTAACAATAACTAACACATACGAACGGACATTACTCTCACATAATCTTTTATTTTACATAATCTTCAATCTAAATTTGAAATTACAACAATCTACTATGATTTGACCCACAAAATCTATTTAAGCTTATCGAGATTATCCTGTATTAATGAAATGGAACTTTAATAGAATAGGTTGCGTTTATCATCGATTGGGATAATATTGACAATTAGGTGATGCTTAGTATGGGACACATAAGTGATACACACCCACCACAACGTTAAAGACAGATACTCCTAATCAACATTTCAAGTACGGATGACGAAAATTCGATAAACAAGGACCAAGGTAAAATCCACACTTGGCTGTCTTAAACTAACTAGTAGAGGTAGGTATGTTTACTAAACCTTCAGTTACCCACTTCATCAGAAGACTACAAATATTGACAGTTGTCAAGTTGTCTATTCTCTGAATCATATCAGTCTAAGTAGAGAAAATCAAGTGGTTACGTCCTAACAGAGAGCAATTTATTGACAATCGACAGCTGAACAAATTTGAATGAAGCTTCACAAACTTGCTGGTTTTATGTAGCGAAATCGTGCTAAGTCGCGTACTTTAGATGACTTTACCTACTTTTAGCAAGTTATATTTGATTCGAATTCGATGCACTACATGGAAGTAATGATAAGCGTTTCTAAGTCGTATATTCGGGTTGGTACTTATTTTAAATCGACAAGAAGACCGAGTACTTGATAATTATCAAATGTTAAATTCAACTACAAACTCAGTAAATCACTGTGTGACTAAGAATTCGCCTGGTTCTTTTACATCTAGCCTTTCTAGAATGAAGACATCATGTTAAGTAAATCAAGCCTACAAACAAAACCAATAACTGCTCACATCTGTTGTTATAAATCAATTTATGCTTCCATAGTTAGAAAATCAAAACAGTAAGCTTGAATTCAATAAACCAGATGTTCGAACTAGAGACCAACTGTCTTTTACATATCTCATTTTACTCTCAGTTTTCTTATTTAACCACTAATAATTGTGTATACAACAACTGAGCCGTAATAAATTCACTTTTTAATCTCCATATGCATTTAGTTGTACAGGTGGCTTTCTACATGTCTTATTCGCTCTCCTACCCGATCATAATATTTATATGATGGACAAGCACACGTGTATGGAATCCCCCCTCGCCCACTTAATCAATGAGGCAGTAGCAGCTGCATATCCATAACAAACACACATCTGTTAGCAAACTGCATAGCTCAAATTTTTTAAATAGACTGATAATGTTGTGAAGTGACAACGGTGGCAGTTGCAGTTAGCAGCTGCTCACACATTTGTTTTGGACCGGAATCATTGCGTTGAAAAATGCCTAACCAAGCATATGTAAAAACAGACGTTTACGAAGTAAACTACTTTATAATAATAAGCAACACATGTGTCTCGCTTTAATGCTTCGTTAAAAATACAGTAGTAATGTGTTAACCAAGCGAAAAGGCAAAGTCAGAGAAAACACAGGTGATGATATTCGAGTAAAGAAAGTATGATTTACTAGTTGGAATAAATATTCTGTACAATAATAAAACATATGAGAAAAAGGGAGCTGGGCAATGTGAGAGACAATGCCTATAAATATATAAGTATATATGTATATACACTCATGTATAACAGAAAATCAAATCATAACAATCGATGTCAATAATGCTCATTGGTAATAGTGTGTATGGGTGTAAGCGAATGTTTGTGTCTGTACATATCACTGCTTTTTTTTCTAAAAGAAAAGTGACGAATTTTCGCCATATTTCTTGTTTCTTCTTTGTTAATAGATATAAATTTTTAAAGATGCACAAGTGATTGACTGGAAAAAAAGAATCAAAATAAGCAATGACATTAGGACAAAAACAGATGGTAGACAGGATAGCTAAAACTACTTCAAAATATGCTTCAGTTAACCTTGAATAGTTTCTTGTGTCATAGATATGTTAACTTCTGAAGGTGGATGTGCTAATGTCGAACAATAGTAAGTAAACAAATCAACTCATAACATAACATAACAGTTGGGGAACGGAAAAGGGCACAAAAATAATTTTAAAAACCGAAAGAATACTCAAACCCTGTGAGCTTTAGATCAAGCTTTATGATCCAGTGTTTTAGGTGGAAGTGTAAACAAGTGGATTTATGTAGATTTTTAGGTCATGCTGCGCTGCAATGAAAAGAGTTCAGCATCGGTTGACTAACAATTAAACTGTAACTAACACTATCAACTAGTAAGGACATTTGGACTTACTTCAGTCCAAAGTAATATTCAAGATAAGTTGTATCACACAGTGAATTTTGTCCAGCGTAGGAATACAACTTCACTGGGAAAACTGGATGTATGAACTGAACTTCCAGGGAATCTAATCGGATGTTTCTGATAGAAGTGGTGAATAGTTATTGGCTGGGAAAGTAAACTCGAGTAATTAGTACTCAGTAACCAAAAAATGCCTAACTATCCAGGAAGCTATCCTTGGAGATGTTTGCGAATTCCAGTCAGCATTTAGCTCATGAAAAACTGTAGAGATCATTTAGTTGATGCTTGAATGGCTTAAGATTAGATGAGAAATAATTTCCAAACGATTATCAGTGTGAAAACGGTATAACGAAGTGCACCTACTCTTTCTGATTAATCAATAAGTCACAATTAGGACGGAGCCATAACACAAGTGTGTTGGCAAACCTGAATAAATAAACAAAACAGGCAGTAAAAGTTTGAAAAAATTGTTTAAGAGTGAAAGACCTAATGCAAAGGTTATGATGAAAGACGGGACAATAAAGTATGATTTGAGAAGAGCGAACGAATCGATACCTATACACGGTTCTAAGCCAATGCTTTAGATCAGTGATTGTAGTTATCGAGTATTTAAGTCACAATATTTGAGCACTCCCTATCATATCAAACACCATGTTACAGGACCAAATTATAAGAATACCACTGCAGGTTCTATAGCTAAGTTAATAATCTGAAATGGAGACAAGTGTTATATATCCTGAGTTGATAAGAGACGCATTTCAGATTTAATCTCTTAAATTTGTTCGAACAAACTTAAGTTAACAGTGTTCATAAGTATGCAGGTAATGAACTACTATGAAAATCAGATGTCTTTAAAGTATTGTCCCGAAAACTTTTGTCAACGTTTTGATGAGTTTGGATGTGATGTAATATAATATGCTGAATAGGAGTACATACTAGTCAGTCAAGAGAACTTGATAATGTAGCGAAAATATTGGGAATCACTTTATACAGTCTTGAAAAGCTTATAAGTACGTAAACGCGCCATATACGATGGAGTTCTATTTAATCTTATAATTTCAGTGGTCAAGTCAATAGCTAACGACAAAACTTGCATACATCAAACCTAGCTTAATTCTAGCAACATACTGTACTGCCTCAATAAGAACTCGTAGTCTACATCGAACTCAGTTGAATTATATGTCTATCAGGACGTCATTTTTATAAAAGAAAATTAACTTACTTTTCTTTGGGACTTGAACATTTCGATACATTGACGGAAGTTAATATATCCTCGGGATATTGAAGGGTTTTCTCCAAGTCTTGGATATAATCAATAACATGCTGTAATAATTCCAATTGATTAACTTTTTTATTTCGTTCAATAGTTGGCACCATTTTTTTCAGTTTGACCAGACACCTTTTTATTTCAGTTGGAGGTGTATCGAATTTTACACTATTAGCATGCCTACGATGTTTAGACAAACGAGAGAGCGGAGAACGACAATTCGTACGTGTCATATTTTAACTCATCTTAGAAATGCTTCCGAATTTATTATAAAGTTAAAACCAATCAGAATATGCTTTAAAACTCGGTCGATTATTGCTCACTTCCTATTGGCTATTAAACGTAGAGTGTTCATTGGCCAATAGAGAACAAGTTTATAGAAGCCAAATGTTTGTTGTCATAGCGACTAGGTTATATTTACTGACATGTACTTACCATATTGTATATTAGTCAAAAGATGCTTCAGGTTATGTTGATCAATTGTAGGTTGAGGAGTAGACATAGAGTTTAAGTTAATTTTTGTATCAACGTAATTTTATTCGTCTGGTTAGAAGTGAACTGACTTTGATGTCCATAATATCAAAATGTTATCTACTGTTTCTTCTTCGTTTAAAAAAGCGAATGACGTGAACTTCAGATGGAACTGAATGCAAATTTCATTTATAGGGTCGTTTTAAACTTTTATTAGCTAATTAAACAATATAAATATCGGTTTTTCGACTTATCACTTGTAAGAACACACCTGTATTGTCTTTATAACATGCACTTCAAATCCAACTATGAATTATACGGCTAGGGAGATGGAATCAGAATAAGAATCCCGTTGAGTCCAATTTTAAGTAGATTATTGCATGTGTAATCTTTAAAACAACAATCGATGAAGTCAGGTCATCAGTTAGCAACTAGAAAAAATTTTAAACTAGAGTTATAGAGATGAGTGTTTTACACACTGAATTGATTAATATACTAGATTCTTTCACTAGCTACAACGCTTCCCAAAAAAAATCACGCTACACAATAGAGCGGTTGGTTTCGTTGCATTTCTTGAAATGCTTCTGATGAACAGGAATGACATATCATCCCTCAATAAACAATTCAAACATGAGGTGACAAGTTAATGAAATTTTATCTCTCAAATCTGTTGAAAAAAAAGATGAATCTGACTCACCATTCAAGGCATCAGATACTTGATAGACAGACAGACAGACAGATACAACGTAGAACTTCGTGCATAAGTACATCAGTTCAGGTTGCCATATCACGTCAGCACAAAGACGTAACTGTCAGTTCGAATCCAAGACTAATAGCGATAGTAGTAATGGAGAAGATTAGGGAGAGAAGATATGATTCGAAAATTATAATTCAGTGACATAAATTTAGAAGGAGAAAGATGGAAATGATGAGGTTTTCAGAAGGTTAGAATTAGAGAGAACACAAAGAGTGGATGCACCTGCGCCATTGCAAACGATTCTGAGCCACGTCATTCAAGTTCTCTAACCATCGAAGACTATCGTCTCGCGGACCCCAACCAGGTAGTCTACATCTACCAACATGACTCAGTCCACTTGTAAGTGACTTCATGCATTTGTGCCATGTTTTGGTCTGACCGCCCCTAGCTTTCTTCCAACCTGCTCCTACACCACAAAACATAGCTCGTCAAGGCAGACACCAGATACTTGAGATATGCAGTGATCAATATGTTAGATAAAAAAATAGTTTCTGCTGAAATTTTTGACTGGTATGGTGATTTGGTTATTATTGACTCGTATTTCAAATGGCCAGATGTAGTACTTGCAACATAGTTCTAGCAGAAACTTCACTCAAGGACCAGTGAGGAAGATATCTAGTCATGAAAGGATTTCGATTGTATTAGTGACTGATAATATAGCCTATTTTATAGAAATGAAATTTCACCACCGGTCTAATGATATTGAATGTTATCATCTAATTACAAATCCATGATATCTTCAGTCTACTGGTTTAAAAGAAACATCCATTGGAACTTTAAACAAAGATATCATATCAGTGAACCCAAACAGTCTCGGTGAGCCAGAAAAATGCATCACTAGTTTCTTACTTCAATATCTTGATGTGAAACACTCAAGAATCCATGAAAGTTCAGCTAATCTCTTCAAATGTTGTATAATTCAAACGCACTGGGGAAATAAAACATCGTCGGAAGTACAGTTTTACCGAGGAAATGATTATCAACTATCGATAGGGATTTTAATTCGAAAATGGGTAATCGGATGGTAAAGATTGTTGATTTAAATGATTATTCACTTCACAGGATACAGGTCGGCCAAAGCAAGTCCAATGAAGTAGATAATTCCATTTTTAAATCTGATAATTCTCCAACCAATCCTAATTCTGTATACAATTCTAGATTTCAGATAGACATTTCGATCATTGATTCTGATGATTCCCCACTAATTCATGAATGTTTTTTTAAATAATTACGAATTTCGGGTAGTTGAAGACGATGAATGTCATGAGAGCTGAGGCACTGACGCTGTTGATCTAGTTTAATAATGTTAAGATTCATGTTTCCTGGCTCCGGCATCTCTTTATTGTGTCTGTGTACATTATAGTTGCATTTAGAATCTTACTCAGTATTTATGTGATATGCACTGATTAATGTGTTAGGAAAAAAAGTAATTGCCTCAGAAATTTAGTTTGAGAGGAGTGTTTTTTGGTCTGAAAATGCAATTTTTCACTGACCGAACTTCTGTTGAACTTGAGAATCATTTATCTTAAACCTTAAACAATTTAGAGAACGTTCTCTGTTACAAAACAGCGATTCACATCTATGAGCACAAGTCTATTTTTTACATCCTTAGAGGACAGGTTTTCCAGATTAGTTACCTCTATATCAACTTCTAGTTCATCTTCAGTTGCAGAACAAAATATACCGAGGGGGAAAGAAGAGCAGTTAGGAGTTCTGAGCTTGAATATTGAATCGAATCTAATCACTCTACTGATTCATACGTTGATTGTAAGGTTGTTTCTATAATTTATTCAAATCTAACATACGTCTTAGTATTCGAATCCTCTAGACAAGTTTTTTTAATCAGTTTTTACTTACACCTGTTACCCCCACTGGAGCATAGGCCGCCCACCAGTTTTCTCCAACCAACTCTGTCCTGGGCTTCCCTCTCCAGTTCTGTCCAATTTTTGTTCATTCTTCTCATATCTTTCTCTATTTCTCGGCGTAATATGTTCCTTGGCCTTCCTCTTTTCCTTTTGCCTTGAGGGTTCTATGTGGGGGCTTGTCTTGTGACGCAGTTAGACGCTTTTCGTAGTGTGTGTCCTATCCACTTCTTCCACTTCTTCTTCCTCTAAACAACTATAGTACTAATTTTCTGAATTTCTGATGACTTTTTTTCCCTTTTTAAAATGATTCCACTGGGATATACACCTCGAATCATATCTTCGACACCTAATCTTTTTGATTACTGCTAATACTGATAGGATATCTACTAGTATGGAATTTGAATTGACAATTGCATCTCTGTGTTGATGTGGTAGGACAGCGTGAACTGATGTACGTACATAGCAAGTTCTACGTTGTAGCCCACTGACTATCTGACTGACTAAACAATAGTAGGTCTTGTTTTTGATAAAATGAAGAGTGAACTTTGTGTACAAGGCAAGCATCTCTTATTCTTGTCGTTATTGTAGCTTTAGTGTGTTATCTTGATTGTTATTTCACTAACTTCGTATTCGAAATGCTTCCTATCCTTCTTTATTTCACACGGCCTCATGATTTCAATCATAGTTGTATCCGATATCATTAGTTAAGGGATTGATTTATCTCAAATTTACAGTTTTGTTTGACTAATGATTCCCAACTGTTGTGACGATTACTGAGAAGGCTTCTCATTATATGAACTCTTAACGTAAATAAAAAGCAAAATTTCTACCAGGTGGCATCACAGTTAAAGCAAACAACATTCAAAATTCCAACGTTAAACAGGATAACAAATAAAGTCAAACTTCATGTAAAAAAAGGTGATCCATGTTCAGCCACATCAGTAGTTAACTGCACTAATGTAGACCACTAAATATGCACAACATATCATTCTAACAGAATCCGAGCGGAGAACACAGACATTTTATTGATTTCTTCTTCATTGAAATCTCATCTAAACTGAAACGACTGTCAATCACATGTTCTAATCTTACAACTGATGAACTTCATGACGTTCAGAAATAACCGGACTGAATTGTTTAACACAATCGCATTTTTCATCTTAATAATTTACTCATAATATCACAAAGTAAACATGAAAAACTGCAACATTCTACTCTTGTTGTTGTTATTGCTATCGCTATTTGATAGTAGTAGTAGTAATGATTTCTATTTGACAACATAGTAAACAACAGCGTAGACTATGAATGAAGCCAGAAAAAGAAAAGCTACTGTTCAAATTTCAAGTAAGATGACTCTAAGTTAAACATGAAATCAACCAAGATGCCAGCTGGTCTCATCTAACTGGAGAAAACTGTGTGTCACAGCTACATTGAAAATATGGTGATAGGGTATAAACTAATAAAACATAAGAATTATTTTTGGAGGCTGTCATCCACAACTTGTTGAAATTTCTCACTCTTCTACTCCACTTCTTAACCTACTAACAAATGTGAACGTGAAAGTGGGTTGGAAGCATTAGTCAATATTTTACACAGTGATCATTCACATTTACGATTCCATATTAGCTTTGTTGGTGTCTGTAGATTGGCACAGACGAAACATACCTGGCATATAAATCAAAACCATGAATCTGTTTGTGGATTGCAGTTGTCTATTATCTATATTACAATTTCTCCAAAGTCCATTCATGACGACTGCATACAATACTGTTGTCTGTAAACTTTCGTTACTGTTATAACTTGAATCGTTCGTAAATTGAGATATAATCTCCTTCATAAGGTAATCACAAATTTGACAACACAGAGTTGTTAGCGAGAAAGTGAGTATATTTACTTGACAGACTAGCAGTCTTCTGTTTTACTCGAACGTAGTTTTCATCGGGACGGAATAAGCCAACAGACGACGAGCTCTGTAGATGAAGTATGTACTAATGATTAAACCACTATCTCTTGTTATGGAGGGAAACAGCAACAGATGATAGAATACTAACATATTCGCACTGAATTCAAATACCTGACAAGTTTATTCTATACATGAGGTCCAATGTTTTAATTATTTAAAATAACTATTTGTACTCCTACTTAATTGGTGAGGTTGAATT